TGGCTTCTGGCTGAGCAGACCACCACTCAGCCAGAAGCCAGGCTCGCTGCTCCTTAGTGCTGTCTCGGAGGCAGGAGAGGCTCCCATGGCTGCCACTGCACTCGCCAGCCATGAGCTTCTGGCTGAGCAGCGCTACCCTGTGGGAGCGCACTGACCCCCAGCGGCAGCTCCTGCGTTAAGCATCTGGCCCCTGGTGGTCAGTTCGCATCATAGTGACTAGTCATTCCACCGTTCGGTTGATTTACATATTAAGGTTTTATTATATAGAATGCCTTAGATAGGAGACAACCTTTCTCCCTTTCCCAGAACTCTGCGGAAGGTGGCTCAGGTTAAAGTGATATTCTTAGTACTAATTATCTCCATAAGATCCATGTGTGCAAGTCCTTGAGAATGATGCCACTTTGTGAGGCCACGACCAAATTGCACCCATGATTATAAGCCCTTCCCTCAGTCAACCGCACTGGTAAACAAAGGCAGGAACAAGAGGCTCTTCTACTAATGCCCTGCTCGCCTCTTCTAACAAGACACAGGTAAGAGGACAGACGTAGAGCCATGTCTGGCACAGAAGTGGAACTGCATGCGAGTGCTTGAGATGTTTGTGGCATGAAAGCTGATTAATTAACATCAACAGAGTAAGTCCCAGGAAAAGTGAAAGGGTCATTTTCACAAACAATGAAACATGCTTGTGAGAGAGGCGTGCTTTGTCCTCCACTAGGAGTCGTTTTTATGCTCAACAAAGCGATGTGAAATGAACTATTTTCATAAACAGATGGTCTTTAGGATAATGGCTTGTACTTTTTAATTTCCTTTCTGGCAGTACTTCATGCCAAGTGTCAGGGATGTCAATAGTCTTCATTAGAAGTGGGCTGATATTGCTGGGATCTTTTGTACCAATAGAACCATTTCCCCCCCAATATTATACATGGAAAGCAGAGAAGTTTAAGAAGCTACAGAAAGATAAAAATCTAATTTGTTTAAACCAAGGGGAAATGAATCCACATCCAATTCCAAGATTAAAAATTTCAGGTCTAAAGTATTCATTGTGTCTTTTCGACTCCACTGCATCACCGTCGTTCGGAAGTCAGTAATCTTTAAATGCTCTCACAGAAAACATCTTTTGTTCCTCAACCGTATTCTTAACAAGGGGTAAGTGATGCCCCATTTATAACATTTTCAATTCATAGAGTCCACATGTGGTCGTGTCCTAGCATAGCCAGACAGAGTGTACATTTCAAAAAAAAACTAAACCTCATAAATCTCCAGAAATTCCTCACATCTATTATTTTTACCTTCTGCTGCTGATGAGCCTGTTGGGCTCTGTACAGAGGAAATTACAAGCGCTCCAGAAGATTTGGCAAGAAGATGCTAGAAGAAACAATGGGCAAAAAAAAAAAAAATCTTAACTGAAGCATCATATCCAGCTTTGGCTACCATTTACATATTTGAAATTACAGCTAATAGAATGGAAATTCCATTGAAATGGAATAAATTGTTTTCTGAAATCCCTATCTGATTACTGTTGGTGATGTCCGAAATTAAACATGTTGAGCTACACTCAATATACTTTATGGAATTCAACGGAAGGCTAACGTGCTATTGAAAGTCTGTCTGTTTATACAATTTTCCAGTTAGGAACCAAGGTACTTGAATCCCCCTAAAACTTTTACTCCTGGCCTTGTGATCACTTTTCCTATTAATATATGTTACCAAACAAATCTCTCTTTACTTAATAGATGTTTGGAGGCTGTTGGAACAGCTGCTAACTAGTAAGGAAATGCCAGTAGAAGTATTTTATAGTCACACATTTAAATACCACTGGAAGTCAGCTTAGAGTGATGCCAAGGGAAATGCTTATGTTTAAGGCATATCCCGCATAGTGATAAAAAATTAATAGGTCGAAAAAATCTTTCACCCACATTATGTACACACAATGCCAACACAACCAAGTGAACGGCAAAAGCCTAACCACCAGGCTTATGGGTGTGTGTTTTTTCTGTTTACTCATTCTAAGTGTCCATTTTCCCACCCTGGTGACCAGGTATGTCATCATTTTGAAGACACCATCGTATAACCCACATAAGAAATGGTCTTTAAAAAAACATAACTCCCGTTATGTTCAAACAGGACTTAATTTACATGCTCAAAGTTTGTTAAGCACATAATTGGTATTTGCTCTCATATTTCATTCATCAGAAAGATTAAAAAATGGGTAACGAATTATGTGTAGATCCATTTAAAAGGATTCAACCTTGAAATAAAGTTGGGAGGTGAAAGCTACCGCTAAAGAACAAACAAAACAAAAACCACTGAATGAATATCAGCTGCTTACAACTCCATATAAAAATTAAAATCACAATTCAACAGATTTTAGGAAAAAGAAAAGTAATCAATTAACCTCAAGCACACAACTTCCCCAATCAGCAAACACACACTTTTCAATGATTGGCCCAAGCACCAACCATTTACCTCCTTCTGCACAATTTCCTAAGCTGTTAACAAA